TTGGTGCCTGTATTTCATTGGACACAACGGCATTAACTGCAGCAGTGTTCGGCTTGTGAGAGCATCACGTAGCGACTTCTGTCCATGCCAGTGAAGAGTCTCCATGACAATGTCATTTATTTATAAGGTGTAAATACAGCAACTGTGGAAGGTAACATTTGCACTAGCAACTCAAATACATTTCTGTATCAAACCTTTACATACAGTTAATTACATGCTGCTGTGAAACATTTCCCTGTGTCAGTGGATTATTTTTAGAGTGCTGTTATAGCTGGGCAGGCAGCAACTAGAGAAGGGGGGTAATTGGTATTTTTATCCAAAACGCTGAGGATACAAGGAACTAAAGTAATCAGAATCTGCAGATGTGACCGCAATTAAGGACAGAAATTGTTCTTCAGCCACCGAATATCCATGGGAGGCAGCCGAGCGCTCTCACATCCCGTTTAATTAGCACAGTACAACCGATTCACTTCGTACTTGGACGTAATTTACTGACGGTGTTGACGACACGAGCGATGAACAACGGTTTAGGTGAGCTGGCCGAGGCGCTGGGGGTGACTTTTGGCGACCGTCCTCCCGCTCCGTTGCAGCCCCCCGCGGCTCCCGGCCGCCTCAGTAGACGTGCACCATGCCGTAGAGGAAAGTCCAGAAGAGGACGTAGGTGAAGAGCCCCCCGATGAGCCCCCCGGTGAACAGCGGCCGTCGCGACTTGAAGTACTTGTTCCACCGGCGGCCGGCCTTGAGCACCAGGAGCACGGAGAGCAGGACGGAGGCCAGGAAGTAGAAGACGAAGCCGTGCAGCCCGCTCAGCCCCAGGATCCCGGCGGTGGCGCCCGACAGGGCCGACACCGACGTGCGGCAGTAGTCCAGCACGGCCGCGTTGCCCCTCACGGCCGCCTCGCTGATGAACTGCGGCCCCTCGCGCCTGGCGGCCGCCACCGGAGCGGCCATGGCTCCGCGCCCGGCTCCGGGACGAGGCTGCGGGGGGGACGCGGACACGGCCGCGGGGCTGGGCGCGCCTCAAGGCCGCGCTCCCTCAGGCAGCCGCCCTCAGGAGCCCGGCTCCGTCCCCCAGCGCCCTCCCGCTCCGCCCCGTACCTCACGCCCGGCTCCGCTCCGGGCCGGGCCGTGCCCCTGGCGGCTCCGCTCCCTCCCTGCCGGGGGTCAGCGCTCGGAGCCCGGCACCGCGGGGCCCGGAGCCGCCCGCCCGCCCCGCCGGAAGCTGCCGGCGGCCATCTTAGCGCGGGGGCCGCCGGGGCGAAGCGGGGCCGGGCCCCGCGGCGGGGCGGGGCGGGGCGGGGCCGGGCGAGGCTTTTGTTCGGGCGGCGGCGCCGGGAGCGGGGTCGGGGCTGAGGCGATGTCGTACGTGCCGGGACAGCCGGTCACTGCCGTCGTGGTGAGGCGCGGGGCGGGGGCTGCGATGAGGAGGGGGGGGACCCTGAGGGGAGCCGGCACCGAGCGGAGCGGGGCCGGGCGCGGCGCGATCGCTTCTCGGCCCCTCAGGGTGGGGCCGGGGCCGTGCCGGGAGCTCCCCGGGCCCGGAGCCTTGGGCTGGTGGCCGAGGGTGGTGGTGGTGGTGGAGAGCGGCTGCGGGGCGTTAATTGTCTTTTACAGCGCGCTAATTGCCGTAATGGGAGCAGCGCGAGGCCTTTTGGTGGTTCTTCCCCCGGTTCGGATGCAGCCGAGTGGCGCTGCCCCGGGCGGCTCCACCGCGCACCCAGCCGGGGGTCGCACTTTGTGCCCTGCTGGAGGTGCTCAGGGAGAGCCCCCGAGTGGTTGCTGCGTGAGCTTGGGGCCGCGGCTTTTTGTGTCAGCTCAAGAACTGCAGAAGCTGGCAGCTGTACAGGCAGGGGGAGAGTCTGTCAGATGCCTGCGGTCACCAGACAGCAAGGAACCGACCTCTGGATTGCAGCAGCGTTGATAACTTATCCATCCCACTAACAGGCTGCTATTCTCACCGATAGGGCGAGGCAGGAACGGGAGGCACTCTGATAAAAGCTAAGATGAGGCTAGATACAAGTGACTATTCGTCAGCAAGACCTGACTCATGTTTAAGGAGATCTGCTTCCTTTTTAATGTTTTCCCCCTTGTTCCTCAGGGCAGGGGTAACACAGTGACACAAGTACAATAGCACAACAGCCCTTGTACTTGCAGATCCCCTCCTGTTCTGCTGTTCAGGGTAGGGCTGAAAACAGCTCAGAGCCAACTGTTGTCACTGCAAGGCTGTGTGCTGCTGACAGATGACAAGTGCTATGTGATAGTTCTGTGCTGCCAGCAGGTTTTAGAGCTGTTTGCTTACCCTGTGCAGGTTTGACAGATAGCTATTACTCTCACAAGGCTGTCATACAGCCTTCTCTCCTAGAGCTACTTGAGGCTTATGGTATCTCTGATAGCTCAGTGTAACTAGGTCTTAAGATTTCTTGTGATTCATCTCAGTGCTCACAGTACTCTATTTTATCTTCTCTTTTTAGCAAAGAATTGAAATACATAAGCTTCGCCAAGGTGACAACTTGATTCTGGGATTCAGCATCGGAGGTGGCATTGATCAGGATCCTACTCAAAATCCTTTCTCTGAAGATAAGACTGACAAGGTCAGAGGTTGATTGTTTTTTATAGCAATTAGGCTGAGCAAGCACTACTGCAGTGCATCTGTATTCTGCCCTCTAACGCAGTTGACTAAAGTTAGTGTTGTTATCCTTTGCAGGCTAAGCTTGTGTTTAACTTACCCAGCTCTCCACCTTTTATTCTCTCCAGCACTGCACAAACCTGTTCTTAGCTAGAATCCTGTCATCTTAACTAGAATCCTGCAATGTGCTACAAAGCATTTCTGCATTGCCAGTGGAACAGCCCTTCCATAAGGGCTATTCATAGTAACACTCAATTCTTGTTTTTCCAGGGCATTTATGTAACAAGGGTGACAGAAGGAGGCCCAGCAGAAGTTGCAGGACTTCAGATTGGCGATAAGATCATGCAGGTAAACAGCAAGTTAAGATGAGTACCAATCCAGTACCAGGTACACGCTTCCAGCAAGCTTCTGCTGGGAAAACTTCTGTCTTCGGGGTACTTTCTGGGGCAGTTTGTACAGCTTACAAATAAACAGAGTTGTGGCATAAGAGTGATTGTACCAGATATACTTACAAGACACCTGTAAGTCCCTATAGTCTTGCCCTAGCTTACTTTAAGACTTGCTCTTTGCCTGCTGAAGCCTTTTATGTGCTTTCCTAGGTGAATGGCTGGGATATGACAATGGTGACCCATGACCAAGCTAGGAAGAGGCTGACAAAAAGAAATGAAGAAGTGGTGCGGCTGCTGGTGACCAGGCAATCTCTGCAGAAGGCTGTGCAGCAATCCATGCTGTCCTAATCAATCATGAAGTTGGGGAGGGGTTGGGGAGGGAGATGCATAGACTGGATATCAAGCAAGGGAGCAAAGGCTAGAGCTGAACAGGTTGTCTGGAAGGAATATATGTTCCTAACTGTGGTAAACACTACTCATACTTTCTCTGGTGTAATTGACAATAGTTAAACTTTAGAGAAGCACTCTGAGGGGACTAGTCTTCCCTGCAGGTACATGGGAAGGCTTTATAATAGTCATGGCTTTCAGGAGGACAGGGCAAACCATATTATTTAAGGAAAAAACTGGAGAAGCCTCAATTTTCTGGAGCACAAAGGTTTCCTGTTCCAACAGGAATTTGGTTTCTGCCAAGGAAGATAAGAGGCTTTTGCTGTGCTTATGCTTTTAGAAGTGAGCTGCTGTGTCCTCCCATGCTATCAAGTTAAAATGCCAGGATCAAGAGTTGCACACTGCTGTGGGGAAGAGCACTGTACTAATGTCACACTGTGTGTTAGGTAGACAGAGCTTGCTGAAGGGTTTGGGGCATTATGACTTACTGTAAAGACTTCTGGTACAGAGCAGCCTCTTCAGACAAAAAAGCTAAGTAACAGTTATTAATACCTGAGTTAGTTTTAGTGCATTTCACAGGTATTAAAGAGTTCTAGACACTACAGTTCAGCTTCACTGTCAGAGAGAACTTGATTCTCTTTGTTCACAAGTAATTTGTAACATCAAATCAAGTTTACGTAAAAAACACTGTGGAAAAGAAAATGCTGTTGCTGAACTTACCAAGAGAGCTGCTTGTATCCAGAGTCTTCAGTTCTTCATTCCATTTGTATCAGACTATCAGGGGGTAGATTTTGGTCTCTCTTCCAGAAGACTGTTCAAATCACTGATTTATTGATTGAAAAGATGAATATGCCAGTAACTTCTCAAAGTGCCTCTTGACCAAATTTAAATTTCTCGTAAGCTACTGCGTTGTTTAAATCAACATGCCACAGGATTTAAGATTTTTACTGCACCACTGAGTTAATTACCTGGCTTCCTAGTGGTTTAACTAGCTAAAACCTGGCATTTTTAATCCACCTCAGTTTATACATATCTGTACTTTCCTTAAGCAGTCTTCAGGTAAGCTTGTAAATAGAACATGAGGAGGGGGCAGTCTAACTTATTCAGTTCGTTACTGCTGTGCTATTTACATATATTGTATCAGTCTCAGACTTCTGTACACACCAGCAGATGCCTACTTACCATTTTTATATCTATTTGAATTACTTTAGTACTGCTTTTGAATTTTGTAACTTAAGAATTCAGCGGTAAGTTTTAAGGCTTTCAAGTTGAAGTTATTTTTGTTACTGTAAAGATACACTCCTATTTGTACTGCTATTTCACGTGATTTTACACACAATAAAACAGCGTTGGATTACCTGTGCTGTTCCCCTTTCCTGTGCTGTTCCCCTTTACATTGAAGAACTGCCGTATCACTTGAATGCCTCCACCTGAGACTTCTTTTCTGGCTCAAAGTGGATTGTGGGCCTACATTGATACAAAGCATTCAAGTATTTGTTAGATTCCCCTCAAGTGACTTTAAAAGGTTCTAATGCTTACCTTGATCTCTACCTGCAACATACCACATGCAGTTACAAAGTAGCACAAGAACAAAAATATGTGCTTAAGACCTTTAATTAATGGGCTGTTAATGAAAATCATCCCCTTTGAAACAAACCCTTTGACAATCTGATCTTTACTATCCACAGTTTAGGGTTCAAGGCGTGTCAGTGGAACCAAGAAAGGTTAAGACAGTACACCACAAGTATTCAGGCACATTTATCTGAGCACTCGTCTTAGCACCTCTGAAAGAGCTTGAAGTGAGCTAGGAATACAGTTCCAGGTTATTCTCAGTATTTTTATTTTCCCTCTTAGAGTTAACATTTGTATTTGTCTTTTTTTTTTTTTTGCTAGGAACTTCATTTTTCCTTCAGGTACTGCTGTTGCCAGCCAGTGTAAGTGGTGTTATAGCATGGTTTGGTCTGTAAGGAGCCAGCAGCACTGAAGTCCACAGACCTTTTGTTATTAAGTGGTTGCATCGACATGATCTCAGGTTCTTGGAAGCCAGAACTTAGGCTCTTTGGAAGTGATGCAAAATCAAAGAGACAATTCTGGTCTCTTTCCTGTTGCTAGAGAAAGAGAGCCACGTGCTGCTGGGACAGCTCAAGCTAAGCTGGCTTTGCACCTTCAACAGGCACAAACCCTCCATCTGCAAGTAGAGGCTAGGTAGCTTGATGTCCTTTAAGGCACCTGGCAATCAGCATTTGGCAAGGCAGCTTGTATTCCATACCAGGGTAGATCAAAGAATAAACAGAGATCAGAGTCAGTATTTCTGATAGCTGCTAGTAGACATCTTGAAATCCCTTGGCCAGGATAGTGGCAAGTTCAATTTAAAGTTTTTGTCTTCAGAGATGTTATTCACAAGGTTCATACCCCCATCTCCTATAAAGGCAGTAGTGCTGAACCATAAAAACAATATCAAAGATGATGGAGAAGACACCCAGGCCAAACTTGGTTGGATCTCCAAAGATTAATTTCCACTCATCTGTCAAACACAAGATTAGAGTGTTATGAGTAAGAGGTTAGTCTTATCTTGAGACCACAAGATCATGATAGACATATTAAAGGAGTTTGTGTTTGTTACCCAGACTACTTAAACACTCCTTGACACTGACCTGTACAGCTTGTGCAAAGCTACTAACTGTTTCTGTGGTTTCATCAGAACAGCTAAGTGTTTTTCAATCCTTAAGCAAAATAGACTTTCTTTAGTCTTCGTGTAAGGACAGCTACCCACACTAGCATAAATAACCTCCCAAGATATCCTACAGGGTTTTGCTTTGTAATGAAATTCTCCCACCCCCATTAAGCCCCCACCAGTTCAGTTCCAGCCTTACCATTGTTGTATGACTGCAAAAACATCTGCAGTAGGCTGAAGGTTCCCCCAGTGAAGTCTAATAATACATTTCCAATGCTCCATCCCTCAGTACTCTTCCGACGGAAATTCATGTATGCCTGAGGGCATAATGAGAAGTTTAATGTGTTGTGTACCTGTTGGTTCAGTACCTAGCCAGGGCTAAGACCACATGGGACTCTGCTTTCTACTATGGGATCATGTTAGCCAGTGGAAGTCTTTTGTTCCAGTCTTCAAATGAGGTAAAGATACTCCTGTTTCGCAAGAAAGCTCATAGTTGAGTTTGGGCTTTTTCCCTTAGTTGGGTTACCTCTTAGTACCCTGAGCAATCCCAGTAAGCAAGCATTGAGATATACAGAAGACTTCAGTGTTAAACAATATGTTAGCTTTATACTGTTTTGTCTGTGAAAAACTAATAAATAACCATTGCTGGTCTAGTCAGATCTTCAAGAACATACACTTCAGACTTAAGAGTGACGGTAACATGCATAAAACTAGAAAAGTTCAGGCTTACCTGTGGAAAATATTTTATCAACGTGACTGCTAACTTGATGTAAGAGAAGCAAAATAAGAACTGTAGCCATGTCATCTCCTCAGCTGCAGCAAGAAACAGTGTTGTAAATGTGAAGATCCATGCAAGTGCCAGTAGTCCAACAACAACTTTGGATACTTTCTGGTCTGCTCTCTGAAACAGAAATACAGATATACTTAGACCAGTCTAGGTCCTACATCCCCAGAAACATAGTAAGGTATCGAATATGCTCAGTACTATGCAAGGTTACAGTCCTCACCCATTGTTGTACCAGTTAGGCACATATCACAAGGGAAGTTTGAGCAATTAGCTGCAGATTTGCAAAAGCTTATGTGCAATATTGAAAAGCATTTGTTCAGAATACTATTGCCCATAAGCAAGTGGAAAAAATATTGCTGCAGTATTTTTTTGACTATTTATGATGCCTATGATTCAGTGCCACATCTGTAATGATCTCCTGAGTTTAGTCTGAAGTTATCAATAGTTCCTATACATGCAAAAGGCTGCTGAGGCCATTATGGTAGAAGTCATAGTTATCTCCCAGTTCTTTACTAGAAAAGGCTATTGCACTCATTGTTGATAAATATGCTCTTAGAGTTTTCAGTTTAGCATTATCAGAGGAAGGAACCTAAACCAGAAATAATTACTATCTAGAACAAACTATCTGTTCAGATCAGAGGTTTTACAATGAGCACCTGACAACAATCAGTCTCACCTGAGAAGGGAGTGGGAATTACAAATAGGCCTCTGCAGCTGTTTCAGGTAAAGAGAAGTGGGGAGGTGGAGACAAAGTGTTACCCACTACATATACCTGCACCCAAAAGCTTACAACTCAAATACTCAGGAGTTGCTAAGAGACCTCTCCTGGCCTAAGGCATCTTCAAAAGGTGAGGAAAGAGAAAGCACGTATGAGCATTTGTACTGTGTAGAGCTGTAATCTATGTGCTGGCTAGAAATCTGTTTGAAAACTTTATGAACTTGGCTGTTTACCTTAGCTATTTTGAGTCAAAGGAGTCTACTTATAAGCTCAGAACATCCATGAGCCTGAAGTATCAAAGCTTACTGGAGCAGCTATTAGCTCAAGAAAGATAAAGCAGCTGGACTGTGAAGCCTGACTTCTAGAAAAGCCAAGGAACAGGCTGTGAAGATGACTTCAGAGCCCAAAAGGAGTGGATCTGAGTACAGTGAGGGGTGAGGCGTCCAGCAGAGGGAGCTCTGCCAGAGCTACCAGGTCAGGCCAGCACTGAGACATACCTCATAGATACAACACTGAATTATGATGAGGAGTGTCAGAGCTACTGCATGGAGGCTGAAGAAAACATCGTTGATATCCACAGGGTTCACTCCACTAGGATAACTGAGTAAGAATTCCTCCTAAGTGCAAGATAAACCAAAACAGCGTAAGTGTTTTAACTCCCTTATGTAGATACCCATGCCCCCTAAAAATATTAAAGTTGTGCTTGCCTTAATTAAGGGAATCCAGAAGAGTCCAACATTAAACACACTGTATGCTATGAAGCCAGTAAGGTTTAATGCAATGTAGTCAAAGCTTAGTCCAATAACGCTAGAGAAGGAAAGAGATTTTTTAAAAAAGCTGGAGAAATGAGAGCATTGTAGGCAGCTCCAGGGATGGCTTATCCCTGGAACATGCTGACTGATAGGCAATTTTTGATCCAAGCTAAAGCTGTACGCATTCTGACAACATGATGTGGAGTTTATTGGGAAGGAAGGTGAAATATCCTTCATATGCCGTTCACAATGGTTCTCACTGCCAAGTTTGTTGCTGCTGTTTAACTTCACCCTTCCATGAGCTCAGCCAGCCTGATAAAGCTATGCCAGCCTAAATCCATAGCAGTAGTGCATCTTTGCCAAAGTGAATGCTTTAGTTTTCATGTATGATAACCTTTCTACTTGCAGTCATTTAGTAAAACAGGAGCTAGTCTAATGATAGCACTACAAGGAGCTGCCTGATAAGCAGCTCACAAGGTAAGTCAACTGTGAAGGTGTCAGCACAATTGGCTTGGTCAGGTGATATACAACATAACACCAAAGGGAACACAAAAAGCGTCCTCTATCAGTTATTACTGGATGCCAAACCTTAGAATTAGGTGTCTGTAGAATGCAAGTAAATTCCTCTGACCTGCACACACAAAAGTGCACTGGGACTGCATTTATTCAGGCCTTATCTTTGCCCTGCTTCTCCTCCTGCCCCAGTCTTTCCATACATAATTCACAAGAACCAAGACGGATGAAAAAGAAACCAGGAACATTGTTTTCAGATGTGCTTAATGGAACTTGCAAACGCATCTTAAGTCTCCTTACCTTTTTCGCCGCCAGTTCTCAAACAGTTGAGGATAGAAGGAGATAGACCACGCAAGGAAATAGATCCAGCCAATCACTTCATCAGCGTATTTCACTATGATGCTATGAATCACTTGAAATTGAATCCTAGGTCTGAAGGTTAATGCAGAGTTAGTTAATTTCTCTGCTCACACTCTTTTCAGGACCATTTGCCTTGCTCTGCTTTGAGAAAAAACAGAGTCCAGGCACTGAGACAAGATAAAGATTCAGCATTGGTTTCATTTTTGAGTTTTTCCCCCTTTCTTTAGTGTCCCTGTTAAGTTTTAAATCTGTTATTCAACCTAGCCTTTCCTTCCCTTTCCACTCTTCATCTCTATTATTATTCAAAAAGGTCCTCTTGTGCCTATGGCTTCCACTGTCATAGCACGGGGTCAGTTATGCAAGAGCAGTTTCACTTTTCATGCTCTGCCAGCAAAGCCTCATGATCGTGCCTGTCCTGTTGATCACTTCACAAATCTGGTTACCTCTGCAATTCCTGCGAGTCTTAAAAAGAGAAGTGAAATGAGGAAGTAATACAGGAACGGCCTGTTGGTGAGTAGCATCTGGACTAGGAAATACAATCTAGTTTTCTCTATCTTGCTAGACTGTTTTCCTGTTAGAGAGGACTGGCATTGGTGAATAGATGGCTCCCCTAACTAGGGAGGAAAACACCTGCATCTCCTGACAATAATGTGGGTACTCAGCTGCACAAGGCTATTAGTACTCCAGAACAAGCTCTGCACAGTAATAATATAAGAAAAGCATCCAAGTAGACATTGACAACCAAATGCTTCCTGGATGAGGACACGTAGTTTTGAGACTTTGGAGAAGGGTTATTAAAACCAGACTAAGGAGCCAGAAGAGGTCACAGTCATCTACGTATAAGTTTAAAATACCAATATTACCATTCTGCTTCCATACTTTATATTTATCTGAATACCTCAGGGATTACTGGAGGGCCACTACATCTTCTCAATTATATACTTCTCCATGTCCCAACAACTACTTATTTATAGGGAGGAAGTAATTACACCAGAGTTTATGAAGCAGTAGGATACTAAGTAGAATTAAAAACCAGTTTCTCACCCAGTTAAGTTGGAATTACTGGTATAAAGATAAACTGTTACTTGTCCAACGTCATCTGCTTTCACCTGGAAGTCTGCCTCCGTGTGACCTGCAGGCAAATGTACCTGCAAGGCAAAGTGGAAGGAAGAAAGGAGAGTTGCACCATACCAGCTCTAGGCTTTTGCATAAGGTCAGAAGTCTATTCTGTCACTTACTTCACCAGGTAGTTCAACAATAGTGTTGTGTTTTGATGAGTGGGTAATATTAAGAGTTATCACCAGTGTCTCATTTAGTGGAGCCCTGCAAAGACATAAGAGCCCAAGTTAGACTGGTGCCTGAGTTCACAAAGATTGCTTCAGGGCTGTGGGAAAGTATCTACTAACTCCACACAGCTGCAGCAAGTGTAGTGGGCAGTCCACCATACACAACAGTACAGTACCTACTTAGTACTCAGGGGGAACACTAACACCAGGTTATGTTAGCACAATGCTATTTCTTTTAACTGAAAAATTGGCTGGCATTAAAGTTACAGAGCCACATTTTGCCTCCCTCTACCCCACACAAATGGCAGAGAAGAGCATTACCAGCAGGACCAGCAAAATCCTACAACAGTAGGATTCTGGGGACTAAGAGGGGCAGAAATGATGGACATGTACTGGGGTGACGACAGGCAGAAATTATGGCCATGATGCAAGAGGAAAAACAAACTCAAGTAAAATAGCCCTGCAAAGCTTTCCCCCAGAGCTCCACTAAGCATTTGCCCAGGAGGTTTAATTGCACAGCAGTATGTAGGGTATCATAAGATTCAAATGCCCGTACTTGTCCATTAAGGAGATCACAGTATCACATATTACTTTGCAGAAATAAGAGTTCTGGACTGTTGTAGCTCTGTCTTGCTATTTTCCCCTTTGTCACAATTCTTACATTGTCATCTGACTATTCCCTTCACACACACCCCTACCTTTGGGATCTCAAAGTCCAAGTACTTAATGCTTCTTTCCTGGCAGGCAGCTGACAACAAAAACACAGCTAAGTAGTGTGTTGTATTAAACAACACAACTGAGATGTGTCAGCTCCTACGCTGGAGTAGCTGCCTTTCTTCCCTAGAAAGGGTAAGTTCTGTTTGCGTGGTAATTTTTTGTGATCTTTTTAAGAAGTGCAAGTTCCTCTCAAGCATCAGTTTTTAGAAATAGCAAAGCTGCTCTTCACATATAGAAGACAGTTCAATAAGCTAGTACAAGGTAGACAGTATAAAACGTCCTTTCCTGCTTGACTTCCCATACAAATGGCATGGGATATTACCAGAGACCAACAACACAAGGCCATTTCAGAGACTGCTGCACTGTTTTGGTCCAAACTGGCACTAAGTGATGTACTGGTCTAGAAGCAGCAAGTCACATACAGGTGAAAGTCCCTCTGTATAAACAGTTAACCAAGTCTGCTGGGAAATTTGAGTATATAGCTATGTTTTATCCCCTTGTTCTTCCCTATTTCATAGGGAAAAAAAAGTTATAGCCATGATTTTACCTCAGAGATATCGTGACATTTGTTGAACTTCCATTTTCTAACAAAACCACTTCTGGGACAGACAATACAATGACTCCATCTGGGAAGAAATAAACAAAAAATTGTCCATTACTACCTGAAGTGTCAGATTAAAAACAAAAAACAACACAGCACCAGTATACTGTCACTAACAACAAAGGGAGTACTGCTTATTTCAAGGGAACTAAACCTAAAAGGAGAACTAAATAACTGCCACTTGAACATGTTACAAGGAAGCAATTTAGATATTTGATTTGCAGCAGAAGTTCATGCTGAGACAAAGCTATAGGATACTTAAAACTCACTAATTGTTTCTTCATGTGATCCTAGTAACTTGGAAGACACGATGCTCAAAATTTAGTTTAAAGTTACTTCTTGAGTGACAAAATCTTCATGTACCCAGATGTTTGAAATAATGTATATTTACAATTATAGTACTTCAAGAATCACAAGTGCCTCGCTATAGTGGTCAGAAACACTGCTGTTATAGGGTACACTTTGCAACAGTGCAGGTATGGTATAGTGTGTCATGTTTTGAGGGGGGGGGGTCACATTCCAACGCCAATACAATCGACATCAAAACCATAAACCAGTCATGCATCATCAATTTTGGAATCCAGGTCTTTTACTATATGTACATTTAAAGGTCAAAAGTGACAGACAAGAACAAATCTATTTAAGACCAGAAAAAAAAGAGAAATAAAGAGGTTGCCATGATTTAATTATTTTTATTATTGTGTTTAGTAATGGACACCCTATTTTGTCTCCTGAACTACAGGGTTCAAGAAAGCTAGAACTGAAATAACAAGCTGGAGATACACGGGCTGGATACAGTGAAGTAGCAAACACCAGCAGTTAGCCTCTGAGGTAAGAATAACTGAAAGTCCCTACATTGTCAGGATCCTCACAACAGTTTTGAGTACTGTGTCTGCGTTCTGAGAGAAAGCATATTTGGAAATAAGTGGAAAATATAGATACAAATCAAATATGAAAGCTATTTCTTGTAGGAAGCTACATAGGAATTATCAGCAGTGACAAGCATCTTTCTCATTACCTTACATTACACAGCATTCTTAAGAAGTTATTTAAATGGAGGAGAGCTCCCCAGCTCTTCCCTGACTGCACCACAGTCAGTATTTAACCTCCTTCAACTGAGGGGAGTGTCTGCACCTTCCTAGTGCTCCATCTGTCACTAGAGTGCCTCAGCGTGAGCTCACAAAGTCAAAGGCAGCATGTGAAAGAAGAGCTGTGGGAAACGTGGCGCAGATTTACCCAGAGGGGGATGACTGGGGATACTGAGGAGCTACCCTTGTCCATCTCTTACCACTCTGGAGCTGGCCTGCAGGTCCAAGCAGGGATGACCAAACACCACCACTCCCCAGCAGCACAGGCATGAGGTACAGTAGAGGAGGGAACACATATCTCATCCTCATGGTGGCAGAGCTGCAGAAAAAAAAACGAGGAGAAAACTTTGCTCAGGCCCTACAAACTTTGAGGGGGTACCAGCCTGTCCCCCACTGCAAAATGGCTCCCTCCTCAGCACCACAGCCCCTGGCCCTGCCTGGCTGAAGGACCCTCAGCACTCCCCACAGTACACTGGGCTTTCAGTCTCTGCCTGCCCACGCTCCCCTGCCAAAATCTCCTCCCTTCACAGCTTATCCTGCTCCTGTCACTCAGCTACCGCCCCCTGAGGTATCCCCCCCCCTTCACAGGACTACAAATCTCAGCAGCCACTGCGCCCCCCCACCCTCCCCACCCGGAGCAGCGGGGCGCGGTGCACGCTGGGACTTGTAGTCCCCAGCGCTCTCCCCTCAGAAAGTACGATGAGGCAGACGCCATCCCACACTTTAGGGCACGCTAATACCAAAGAAGCGGCACGGAGAGGGAAAACCGCCTACCTCCTTCCAACACTGCGACTCCGTCCCACGCACCCCGAGCTCTTCCCTTTTCAGCTCCTCACGTGAGGCGGCCGCCTATCGCCTCCCCGCCTAACGCCCCCTTCGCGCGTTGCGCCGCTGCGGCCGCCCGCGGGCGCCATCTTGGGTGTGGCAGAGCGGGGCGGGCGCCGGGCTGGGGCTGGGGCTGGCGGCTCTGTGAGGAGGGGTCGCTGAGGGCTGGGGGAGGCACTCGGTGCTTCAGCTGCTCGCTGGAGTTTCGTTCCGAGTGGCAAAGCTCGCTGGGGAGAGCTGGGGAAGGGGTGGTTTTGCCACTCTCAAGATGGAGGGGTGTTGCTCAAGTGCTGAAGGGAGACGTTTTCAGTCAGAGGGCAGAGTCCAGGCTCTCTCTCGGCCCAGTTTGCCCACTCACCCTAGTCCCCTCACGCTGCTGGAGCAGTAGCTTGTGTTTGTGCCCTCTCGGGGCAGGTGCTCCTTCAAAGGCAGCGAGGAACAACATAAGGGCTCAATACAGTGGACGTTGGTCAGAGTACTGCCTAGAGAGACTCGTGTGGGCTGTGGGAGGTGAAGGCAAATCGCCAGGGCCATGGCGGGCAGCGAGGCGTCCTGCGTGCTGGGCATAGACCTGGGCACGACGTCTGTTAAGGCTGCCCTGCTGGTAGGGACAGGGCGAGGGCATGTGGTGGCAGCGAGCTGCTCCAGGGAGACACAGGCACACACCAGCAGCCTGGAAGCTGGACCACAGGTAAGGGGTGGCAGAAAGCACTGCCAGCGGTTTCAGGATGGCGGCGTTGCCTTGTAGCAGTTGGGCTGCCTTGCTGTGTTGTGTGGACTTTGATGGATTTCTTGTTTGGTTGGTTTTTTTTGGGCTTGTTTTGTGTGTGTGCGTAGAGTGACAGAGATGTTCGCTATGTGTGTCTGGATGTCTGAAATGGGAATTAAAATGCTCTCTGTTTACTGTTCAAGAAAGCCAAGTAAAGCTGACTGGTTTAAGAAAGATAGCTTTTGAAAAGCTGCTGGTTAAGTACTCAAATGGTCATGTCCAATTAGGATAGTACTGGAGTCAGTGGGTTTGCTAGATGAATAGGAACTCGTTCCCTCTTTTCTTACCTCATTTCAAATGGAGGCAGCTGCTGGGAACATTCCGTAAGTGGTACCACAGAGTCAAACTAATTGCCACTGCTGGAGCCTCCCACACTTCTGAGATGGCAGCCCAAGCTTGATTTTTCTCTTTTGAGAGCATACAGACCTGCAGAAAGCCTGCTTCTGCTTCCACCGTGGCCTCAGAGTTGTCACAAAACAATCTAAAACTATTCTTCCATGAACAATGCCTTTGTGTTCGATGCTGTCAGTCAGGAAACAGCAACCACTCACCAACTTAAAGGGTATGTTGCACTTTAGTGTGAGATGGAATCATAACTGGAAATTCCCAGTGGAAATAACCAGGAATGTATATTCCTGTTAGAGGGCTTTAGGTCCATTATGTTATTCAATCAAATAAAGAATGGATCAAAATCATAAACAATATGTATCAACATTCCTGTGGCCTAGTATTGTAGTGTTTCTGGGGTGAAGATACCAACCAAACAGGCCAATTCTTCTCCCTTCAGTCATGTTTATGCAGCTAGAAGTAGATACATGCACGACAGTTTGCATCTATATATGGGATAAATGAAAATACTTTTGCTTATAATCTTTGTTCGGCTCTGTCAAAGTAATCTGAATGTTCGAAAGTGTGAAAGCTGTAATGCAACTTACCTTGTGTCAGGGCTTGGTCACTTTTTTGAGTAGATCTCTGCAGCTTGCTTGGCAGTTCTGGGAATAGAGTATCCAGACACGAAGTATCGGCATCATCCAAGTCAACAGCGTGTAGAGAGGTTTTAGGAGGGTGTGAGACATGCATGTGCATGCAAGTGAGAACATGTGGATAATCCTCTTTGTGTAAAAAAAAAAAAAAAAAAAAAAAAAAAGCAATGTAGAAGTTGAATTAATGTAAGTATGTGGTGAGCGTTAATGGACTTCTTAAAAGATGTGTTTGAGTATGGTGTTTTAGGAAATTAAGTCAAGGATTATACGGCCTTCAGTGTAAGATGCTGTTATTTATTGTCAACTTGCTAGTATTGTTTTGGGGGTTTTGTGTATGTTGTGTTTTCTGTGTTTTTTTTTTCTTTTTTCAAACTTTTTTTCAATTTAGTAGTGAATGTTACTTTAATGCATGTTATTAACCTAAATGAATTCTGTTCTTTACTTCTGACTAGAGTAGCCTTGTTTAATAAATACAGTGAGTCCTAATGGCTTCATCTTAGTATTATGCTTCTTGATTACAGGGAATGGAGCAGAATGTCCAAAGAATAATAACAGCACTGAACGAATGCCTTGCTGCTCTACCTCAGCAGCAGCTTCAAAGAGTCAGTCACATTGGCATTTCAGGGCAAATGCATGGGATTGTATTTTGGAAAAGAGATCAAGGTAATATTATATTTTTGGCTTTCTTGTTTAGAGTAAAATAAATCTTTAGCACTGAAGTGATCTGTAGGAAATCGCTGCATGTTCACCTTGATCTTCTGTAAAACAGAATTAACAAGATCATTTTCTATGTCAATTTTGCTTTAATTACTGGAATTTCAGCTACTGACTGTAGTTAACCATATTGTTTACACATATCAGTTGAAGGATTTAGTCTTATGAGATCCCTGCAGAGTAAACATAGTTAATAGTATGAAGGAGGAATTACATATCTGTGGCTTGTCTATTGTTTGTCCATCATATGCTATCTGCTGCCAGTTGAAAGAACTTCCGGACCATGTGAATTCCTTTTTTCTTAAACGCTACTTACCTCATAAAGCACTTAACTACTTGGTGTCCAGTATCTCAATACCTTCCAGTGATTCTGCAGCAGTAGTATTAGCAGTTCTATGTCTGCCTTGAAAAATAAGCTGTACTTGATCTTTATGTTAAAATGTGTACAGCAGTAGCTATCCAGTAATGAACATTGCTATGTTAATTTGACACAGTTTGAAAGTACAGTAAAAGGAAAAAATGACATTCAGTAAAATATTATTTCAGTCTTTTGTTGTTGTCTTTTATGAAAAATCTCAAAGCATTTTTTTTCTAGTAAATTGTAGACTGGCATGTTGCATTCATCTTGCCTGCTTGTGCTTCTGTTAGGAGCTGAAAAGGATTGTGGTCTTGATTCTGAATATGCAGCTGCTTGTAGACTGAAGGGCCAAGACCTCAGAAACAAAATCAGCCACAGTAAGGTAGTCACATGGAGCTTGATTGTGACAGTGAAGATGTTTGAAAAATTCAAGCCTTGGATTTCTAGCTCTGTGAGATAGGTATGGATTCTCTTCATAAACCTTCTAAAGTCCAAGGTTCAGGTTTCAAAATGTAGTTCGACGTTTTTTTTCTCTTCACCTTACAGTGTGCACATCTGAGCAATTATACAGATCTGAAAATAATAATAAAAGTTACAGATTAAGCAAAGATTTATTGTAAACTGCAGAATAGATTTTCCAAAAGTGCTGGTCACTGCCTTTCAAAAGTTGTTGGGGTCTTAATTGTTTAAAGAGACACAATGCTATTCATTACCGGCTGTAATTTTACCTTAAATACAAAAATGATTGCAAAGAAAGAAATCCGAAGGCTGATGGGAAGGAGCTGTTGCTTGCTTTCCAGCTGTCCCAAGGGCTGCATAACAAAGCCTCATGGGTTCATGACAGACAGATTCTTACGTGATATTGGTTAATATTTTATTTCCCAAAGCCACACACCACTTTTGTTTCATTTCTGTCCAGTGAAAGAGGGTGTTTGCTCTCATTTGTTTTGAGTAGACTAAATGAATCCATGCGCTTTGGGACACAAATTAGATTTTTAATAGCATCCTTTAGGGTTGGATTTATGGTTAATAATATTTCTTTGAAACCATTTGAAACTAGAAAAACAAGCCAATTTGAAAATCATTTCAAACAGACTTGATAGAACAGGGAATTAAGAGAACAACAAAAGGTATGTTTGCTTTACATGTTTCAGATAGTATTTCCTGCTTTCATGGCTGCTTTTTATTGTGTGTGTGTGACTTCAAATCCCTATATTCGTATTTGTGCTAGTCAGTTGAGCAGCCATACCTCTGTTCATACCTCTGTAGGGTAAGTGGCACAGCACAGCTTGAAACTCTCCTGCCACTCCTCACTAAAAAAAGAAATAGAGCCAGCTGGAGACAGTGTGTGGCCTGTCCTATCCCCACCTTGTGGCCCTGCATCACCTGGGAGAACAGTAGTTGTCAGAGGCTGACGCTGAGACATGGAGTGTGCCAGCAAATATCACAGAGCAGTGCTTGAGCTCAGCATCTGCTTAGTTTGCTGCTCTGGCAGGTCTGTAATCTGCCTTAGCATGACTGCTTGTCGGGAGCATGTCAGGGCAGGGAGCAGCACACTGGGCTGGAGCAGTAGCAGACATTGCTGAGAAGGCTCCGTGCAGCACCAAGAAGTTGCCCTCATTTAGCTGAGGCCTTGGCGTAGAGGCATGTGATGGCTTCACCAAAGGTGTGGCATCCTCTGTTCAAAACAAATGTGCTAGACTGATAACACTGAATTAAATCCTTCTCTGCTTCTGGTGAAGCAAGGTACAGGGGGGAGATGTTGGTTAGTTTGCAGTCTGTTGCTTAATATGTACAGATCCAGGTTTCCTGTTGCTTTGACTCAAAAGGTGGAAGAAACTGTGCCCTATCCATCGTAGGCAGTTCGTTACTAATTCTGTGTGCTCTTGGTCATGATGTGGCTGTTCAAGTTTTGTCATGTCAGCTCCTTACCTCTCGTAGCAGAATTGCAAACTTTTTTCCAGAATGACTGGAATTATGACGTTATCTAGGACTGAAACTATGACTAGTTAATTTAATTACAACCGCCACTGGCTCCGTTTCTGTTCTTTTCCCAATACATTTGACAAATTATCAGAGTGTCTAGTAAGGAAAAATGACAGGCACAGCAGGAAATCACGGGATTTCTCAGATGCTTTTGTGTTTCAGGTTGCAGGTGGACAGAGTGTGGTACCAGCCCTACCTTTGAGCCAGAGGAGGTCAGTCATCTGGTTACGTGGCAAGACGGCCGCTGCAGTCCTGCCTTCCTCGCTTCTCTTCCTCCGCCCCAGTCACACATCAGCCTGGCTACAGGATTTGGGTGTGCCACAGTCTACTGGTATTTAAAGAACAGGTACATTGTTTCTCAAATGGGCAGTTGTATCAGGCTGTTTCACTGTTGGTTTCTCCTCCTGAATTTGTGTTAGTATTCCTGTGGCATGGTAAAACAACTACAAGCTCAGGGTGTGCATTTTCTCTCTAATCATAATACTGATTAGTTAAAGAATGTTTATAATGGCAGTATTCAATATAAGCGATACGTAACAGCACACAAATCTCTCTGACCTCATAAAAATACTACAGATCTTTTTAATAAGAATAAAATCTTTTGACCATATAGAAGCAGAAGCCTTAAAGTATCATAAAATAATTCTAGTCCAGCCTACTGCTAATGAGGAGGTCTGCTAATGTAGCTTGAATGCTATAATTTTGGCTTGTGCAGATTGTGGAAAGTACAAACATGCCTAAAACAGTAACAGAGTTGCTTTGGTTGGTTGCTGCCAGATGCTGAAAGAAACAATCCCTAAATTAATTTCAGTTTCTTCCTTCTTTAGACACTGGGATTCTTATGAGGTGTTACTGATGCTCTGCTTTGTTGTGGCGTATTTGCAGAGGATGTAATTTTTCACTTATGACTTGGCATCAGCATGATTTGGTCTTCAGTTTCATCTGTAGCATGCTATGTCTCTCAAAGAGACATTATCTTCCTCAGCCGTGAGTTCAAGTTAAATTAGTAGGGAAAAACTTATTACATCTTGGTTTTCCCTCAACATATGTTCAGCAGATAGCTAGAATGTGACGTGATCTTGCTTTAGAGCTGTACAGCTCATGAGTCCAAGCTGTTTTGGTTTGTTTCTGTTCTGTTTCACCACTTGGTACATTTCCATTCATATAATCTGTGAATCCTAAAACGATTGCAGGAATTGACTGATTTTTTTTGTCAAATGCTCCGGAATCAACAAAGTGACATTTTTGTAAAACAATTACTACTTTCCTGGCATGTTTTGCGGTGGTATGATTTCAAACCCAGATAACTCATTCCTTAAAGCCACTGTCTCTCTGTCTTCCACAAGCAGATAACAATTGCTACTGTGGTAAGAGCTTGGAAAATAAATCCCATTAAAAAAGTAATAACCCACAAAATCCAAGTTGATCACTGAGATACTGAGTTTGCAGTTCTCTTTTTAGGAGATAAGGCCACACACATCTAAAGTTCCCTATAGTGCTGGACGTAAACTTGCTCTGACTGTCTTAAAGCACTGCTCATTGTTTTTGTTTTTAAAATGTTTTGTTTAAAAGTCCAGATTTTCTGAAGTGTTATGATGCAGCTGGCACTATCCATGACTATGTGGTTGCCATGTTGTGTGACCTGAAGAAGCCACTCATGTCCATCCAGAATGCCGCCAGCTGGGGATATTTCAATGCCAAAACCAAAAGTTGGAATACTGATGTGTAAGTGCTGAGGTCATTCCATGGATTTTATGCTTTGCTTGTGTCAGGCAACTTGAACATCTCTTAGGACCCTAAGTATGAGTGTGTTACGGATAGGAAGTGATTGAAAGTTGTTCCTAATCAATTGTGCCGTGGTCTGTACTGAAGGACTTTTGGGCATTTGCTCTGGTTTGTAAGGTAAATATATTTAAGTTACGTACAATTTGGCACTGTGTTTTTAGAAATACCTAAGACAGCAGAGCTGAGAGACTCATCAATGCGGTCTTGTATACTGAACATTTCCTCTCCCTTTCTGTGGTGTGATGGTGGGATGAGATGGAGAAGTGGATGCCGCAGCCATGGCTGTAATGGCAAAAGACAGTTACTACTACTTCTTTTGGCTGAGCTCCTTTGTAACTGCTAAGATTTACTTGTGATTTATTAAAATTTGGTAGGCTACAGGGAGTCTTACAGAAAACTGTTTTTGTTTATTTATTTTTAATGATTTGCTCTTTCAGGGCAGAATCCTAAGGCTGTATGTATTTCAGAGTTTAGGTTAGGCCAGAATTCCAAGATCTGCTCATAAAGGTAATTTACTATCTAATGCTTTAAGAGTGACAGAAACGTGCATTTTCACTAATCTGGTATTTTTGCTGTAGCAACATAGTGTATCTTGTGGTTTGTGTAAGGAGTTTGTTGGACTTACCTCTGATTTGGTTTTGAGCTACTAACTGCATGACAGTTGTAAGTTCTTTGACACTTAAAAGTTGAATTTTTGTGATTGTCCCTTAACCCTGGAACTGCTTGTCTATACAACATCAGTAGGTTAAGCTTGGTGAATGTGTACTCCTGTAGAATCCCAGGTAATCAGATTGCATACCATGAAAAGCAGTTTGTTTTTCCAGCATATTCTAGTTTACCCAGCCTGTTGAACTGGAATGCTGCCCAAGACAAAGCTTTCTAGAGAAGTGAATGCATCCATAAATCCAGCAGCTGCAAACGTATGGCCAGCTTCGTCTGCGACTTCAGAGAGGTCCTTGTAGCCATGCTGCATGTTCCCCTGCTGCTTTCCTGCAACAATATTGTTCTGATTGTAGATTGAAAAAGTCCGGCTTTCCTCTTCACTTGCTTCCAGAGGTGGGAGACCCTGGCAGTATTGCAGGGAGGACAATCTGTGCGTGGCATGGAATACCCAAAGGAACAGAAGTAGGAATTGCTCTGGGAGATTTCCAGTGCTCTGTTTATTCCTGTCTGACTGAAAGGACTGATGCAGGTATGATCATTTTGGTATCTTACTTTGTTTTCTCATTGTCTACCTTCAGGGTAGCCTAGTAAAACGCTGATTTTTTTTTTTCTTCTTTTTTCTAGTTCTCAATATCAGTACCTCTGCTCAGCTGACCATCTCAATGCCCCCTGGTTTCCAGCCTCCAGAGACACCAGATCCTTCATCGGCTGTTACTTACTTTCCCTACTTCAACGGTGACTACTTGGCAGTGGCAGCATCACTTAATGGAGGCAATGTGCTAGCAACATTTGTGGACATGGTGTCACAGTGGATGGAAGAACTGGGTAAGCTCGTTAAGGATTGTTACGGCTTAAAATTGAGGTTGATCAATAAGGTGAAGGGAAGCTCAGACAAAGGAACAAGTATAGAGCTGTTTCTTCATGCAATAGAAGGAATGAGGATGTAACTCCTGGGTCATATTTCCCAGACGTCTAGAATTTCCTTCTGAAGCTAATCAACATGCCGGGACAGTCATCCTTGGACTCCACATTCACTTTGCTTCTAGGTTTTGAATTTTCGTTTGTTTTAAGAACAAGAGAATATTTTTGCAAGTTGTTTTTAAAAGGAAAAGTCAGCAAATATGAGGACAGCCACTGATTTCCTATGACTGCATTCAGAAAGAGTCCCTTGATTGCATCAGTTGCCTTCTACTGCGTATTTTCCAGCAGTCTAATGGATTTTAAGGCTCAAACTCACATAGTGTCTTCTAAGTGCTTTAAACATGGACTTTGCACTCATGGTGGTTTGTTTGTTTGTTTTTGTTATTATATAACTTCCTCACTTTTTCTGGAGTTGTATTTGATATGTCATCTTACTCATTACAAGGGAGAAAACAGCTTGTATTTAATATCTGTTTCTGCTCCTGGGTATACACAGGGTCTTCCATTTCCGTGCTCTGTCATGCCCATTTGTAAAATGAGAAGTAATTATCACATTAAATCTGAGTGTTTTACACACACACACATATATATAGAAAATCTCCTGGGTTTTGCAGTGCAGAAATAAGTTCTGAAATCATTCTTTCTGTGAGTTCTTGAAGTGAATTCTGCATTCAGCTTCGGTAGCTGGATTGCATGTGATGTCTGCCATTAGTGCCTTTAGAGGCATTGCTTCTGATCAGAAAAAGATTTCTAGTGTTACAGATATTAGATACAGTTGGATAGAGAACTGGGGCTTGTAATCCTGGAAAAACAATTACCTTTGATACAGGGAAAAAAGTATACAGTACTTTGCTGAACAAGTGGATCAGTGCCCATTTTAAGGCTCCATGTGTAAGATACATTAGATGTCTTCAGCTGAGTAATGTGGTATTTCCCATCTGCAGGGCTTCAGGTTCAGGATTCTGCCATCTACGCAAAGATAATCAAAGCAGCTTTGGCCCAAGATGACAGCAAACTCTTGATCCGCCCAACCATATTTGGAGAGAGACACGTTCCTGAGCAGTTGGCTTCAGTGACCAGTATTGCTGTCTCTGAGCTCTCCTTGGGGCACGTAACCAGAGCTCTGTGCCGTGGCATCGTTGAAAACCTCTGTTCCATGTTGCCGGTGCAACGCCTGATGGAGACAGGAGTGAGCAGAATTCTGGGGAGTGGGAGTGCCCTCGCCAGGAATGAGGTGTTGAGGCAGGAAGTGGAAAGGATTTTTCCATTCCCTGTGGTTTATGGGAAGGATGTTGATGCTGCTGTGGGGGCTGCCATGGTGATGTTCCACAGAAAATAAAGATACTGTTTAGAATGGCCTGAGATGCATCGTCCTTTTTTTTTTTTTTTTTTTCCTCCTTGGCTGTACAGTGTTTCCTTTCACTTCCTCACTTTTTCTGGAGTTGTATTCAGTGTGTCATCTTACTCATTACAATGGAAAACACAGCTTGTATTTAATGTCTGTTTCTGCTCCTGGGCATGCACAGGGTCTTCCATTTATTTCCTTGCTCTGTCATTCCCGTTTGTGAAATGAGACATAATTATCACATTAAATTTGACTGAGTGACAAGGAAAAATCCATTAACTTCTGCATAAAATGATACTTCGTGTAAGGCTCATTTTCCAGGTAGAAAGTGTGTTTAGGAGGGCTAGGAGAAATGGGCAGCTTTTGTAACTTAGTGTGATGCTTTTATTAGAGAGTTCTTGTCCTTAGAGTTTCTCACTGTATACATACATACAGGCAACAGACCAAGATACCAGTTTTATTTGAGTTTCTTGGTGGCTCTTCACAAAATGAATGCCAGTTCTCATGCATTGTACGTTGTCTCTGTAAAAGATGGAATACAGCCTTGGCTTGCATGTCGACAAAACAATTAAAATAAACCATAGAATGTTATTTCTGTGACTACTCAGGTCTGTTGGAGTAGGCTAAGGTCAAAGGAATGGGTAGGCCTGTACCATGACTGGCGATACCTGGAATGCAAGGCTTATGGAAAATACATTCACTGGGTATTTACCAGAAACTGGTAAAATTGTGGCATGGTTTTAGGTTCTATTAGCAAAAGCAAGAATATATCTGACCTGCAGAGTAGTCTTGGAGACATCTTTAAGATCTCTAGCATGCTTCCATGCTGATGCTTTTCCGTTTGCAGCAATGGAGAGGGTTTTTATTTGTTAAGCACTCTTGAGCACAGAAGTTGCATGAAATCTGTTTACCATGGAAAGCTATGGGATGCTGGCCCATGAAAAGGAATAAATTTCCTTCTTGTTTGCTACTGGCGTGTTTTGATAAGCATTCACACATTCTTATGAGCTCACACTTATAAATGAGGTCCCTGCTGAGGCAGAATATGATATCTCCAAGAACTGTGGCAAAAGGTAATGGAATTGCTGCTGGTAAGAAGGAAGTAACACCTTCACAAGAAACAGAAATCAAGGAGGCTGATGAAAGAGACATCAAAGCTCAGAAAATGACAGAAAGCTCCCAAACTGTGTACTCGAGAGCATGGGAAGACTGAGAGGAGCTGATGCCAGGAACAGGAAAAGAGAAAGAAGGAGCATTCAGCAAAAACAGCAAGGAAGAAGCTAGAAACTGAGTACGGGAGACCCTCCACTGAGCTTTATGGTTTTCTTACAAAGTTGTTCCTTGGAAGTGGTGAAGGAGTTAATCGTAATGTTGAAGCAGATTCTCTGCGCAGCAAAGTTCCAGGAGGGCCAGCCAGGGACCTGGCTTATTGGTAATCCATACTTATGCATTAATAAACAGGCATTTTATTTCTTTTGAGTACAATGCCATGAGGTGTTTTAAGTGGTATAATTAGTTTGCTATTAAATAGGCAAATATATTATTCTTATATATATAGATAAATGGCAAGACTAGAAAGATCTCTTATGATCCTATAGTTACCTTTTGCAAAACATAAACCAGATAATTTCATTCAATAATTTCATATCTAACTCCAGACCACAGGAGCTAGAGGTCTGGTGGTTTCTTCTAGCCTAACAGCTATAGCCTATTGGCTTAACTTTGTGGAAATCTCTCTCTCAAGCCTGGTCTTTGGCAGAAAGATAGTATATATATGATACATTTAACACAGGTCTTCATTTTAATGGTGTTAGATCAAGTCTGGATTAGATACAACTTCTTTTTCTAATGACATTAATATTTAAAAGCTTTCTGTTACATATATATTATTTAAATAAAGCATAGTAGGAATGTGGAATGATAAAATGGCCTTAAGACTATTGTCGTTGAGTTCTTCTACTCCGTTCAGAATCAGCTTGTCTTTAAAATACTTCACGGGGCTTTACAGCAGCCACACAAGAGTGCCCAGAAAGATAAATGATCTCAGAGAAGGGCTGTGGCATATTTTACGAAGTTTTGTCAAGTGAAATGAAACTGTGACCCACAGAAACAATTGCTGTTTTTTGGTTTTTGTTTTTTCTTTTTCTTTTTTTAAGCTTAAGTGTATTTACAAAGAGGAAATCTGTAGAGGAGGATCCATTACTAAATGCAATTAGTGTGATGGTGGTGGTAGGGACAACAACAACTTGCTGTGATTCTTGTAAAGAGCTTTGCTAAGCTCCTGGGAATAGAAGCTACTGATGCTTCTCGTTCCAGAATTGTTCTTAATGATTTTATTACTCTATTTTCTGTTCTTCTAGTGAACTTCCCTTGATTCTAAAGAATCAGCAGCACGTAGAACAATTTTCCAGACAAATGAAGTGGAGAAGAAAGCTCTGAGGTCTTTGCAGCGCAGACACCTAGGAGGAAGAATCTGGCACCAAATTCCTGTAGAACAGAGGTTGTTTACTGAAACTGGACTATTTTGTGGAAGACAGGATTTTTTTTACGATATTTGTAAGTTCTCTACGTATATTTGAATAGCATGCTTGCTATTTACTCGTAAACTCTTAAGCATTTATTATAAGTTGTGATTCAGTTAGACATTCTTAAAAAAATATTTCCTCATTTATTGAATCAAGCTTTGATGTACATAAGATTCCAAGAGTTAGGTAGGTTTATGTGTTTTTCCAGGATAGGTAATATTTTCTTAAATTTTATTACTGTTTTTTTAATTTATTTTCAGAATCTTTTCATAGAATTTAATGATTATTTCTTGTGCAAATTCGTACTTACAAGGAAATGCAGTTTTGTTCTAATTATCAAAGATGCTACCAATGGACATTAGAAATAAATGGAATAATAATAATTGTAACTGAAACAGGTTTGAGTAGGTTGTCAGGAAGACAGGATTAAGTCCATTCTGCTGCTTCTAATATTGTACTTTTTCTGTAGAAAATACATTATTCCATTCTGCATACCCATCTCCCTGACAGTTTTGGCTCAATCTACATTGATTTAAATGAGACCAAAAATGAAAATCAAACACGGCTGTATTCCCAGCGTATTTTTTCCATTTCTTTATAAAAGTTGTTTTTATAACTTTTTCCATAAAGTAATTGTTCTTCCATACTTTTAGTATCATATTCCAAATGAGAGTATTTTTCTTCAGATTATTTCTTTTTTATAGAATGATTAAGTAAATAAGGTATTATGTTATTTTTTCAGAGTGATTGTACACAAAAAACTTGAAAGGTGAGCACAGAGGACACAGCAAGTTGAACTGCAGCCTTTAGTATTTCACCTATACTATGCTATTTTGCTATTTTTCCTGAGAATATATGGTGGCACAAACCAGAAAATAGATGGTGCTCTAAACTGCTTACTTGAGGTGTTTTTGTGGTTCCTCACAGACTGCCTGTTCATCATGTCTTCCATTCTTGGGAAGATGAAGAAATTTGGCAGTTCTGACCTGGAGGAATCTGAAGTGACAGATGAACATACAGATGGGGAGGACTCTGCACTGGAAACACCTGACAGCCTCCAGGGTTCACTCAGCACCAAGGTGCAGCCACCTAAAAGCAACATCTTTGCAAGACGTGGGCGGTTTGTGATGGGGGATAGTGACAAGGACATGGCTCCCATGGATTCCTTCTACCAGATGGATCACCTGATGGCACCTTCTGTCATCAAATTTCACGCAAATTTGGAGAGAGGGAAACTTCACAAGTAAGTTTGTGTTGTAAGGTGTGGTGAGTACTGGACATATTATGACAGTTGTAGTCTGTGCTTCTTAGAGCAGTATGTTTTCACTCTGCGTTTTCATGCCTGTTTTCTCAGTTTCACTATTTTTAGTGAAGGAAGGAGTGTTTTATTTGAAACTGATAATACATGTAGCTGTTGTCTCTTGGCATCTCTGAAAATTTAGTCCATGGATGTCTTGCCCAAAGTTAGTGATAAGCTTTAGACCATATGCTCAAAGGTGTTCAGTAAATAGACATCACTCAGAATAACATAGGATTGCCTGGCAACCAGGCCTGCAGTTAGACTGTCATACTTCAGTGCATCTTTTAAGTTGTGTTTTCAGCTTTACAGCAGCAAACATGCAATTTTGTCAGGACAATTGCGTGCAGACATTATTTTGTACGTTTTGCAGATCCATCTATACTAATCAGAAGTGCTTGCTATTTCATACAAGCAAAAGGAAAATAGTTTTCTGGTAGTTTATAAAAAGTCTGCTAAATATCTGACTTTAACTGAAATTTACCCTCGTTAGGCTCCTATCTACAGATTCCATCACGGGCTGCTCTGAAAAAGCTTTCAAGTTTTATGACCGCAGAAGGATCTTTGATGCTGTAGCCCAAGGCAACACAAGAGACCTGGATGATCTGCTACTCTATCTTAATAGGACCTTGAAGCATCTCACAGATGATGAATTCAAAGGTAACACTTAGTGTCACGTACCTTAAGTTGCCCTTGTCTTCTTCCAGTAGTACTCCAGAGATGGGCAGCAGGAGAGGAGGAACAGGGTAGATGGACAAAAAAAAAAAAAAAAAAAAAAAAAATGCACAAAACAACATTGCTGATAAGTGTGAAGTAGCTTCACGAGGTCTTCTAATAGCCTGTACATCCCTACTGATTGAGCAGCCCACTGATTGTAAAGTTATAGGAGAAATCAGAAAAGTTGAAGTTTGTAAAATTCTGAATTGGTTTTCTTGTGTTTTCATAACAATTTCATTAATTCCTGTATGTCTGGAAGTAGATGGTGGGTTTCTAGTCACTTCTATGTAGCTGTGATTTTGTTTGTTACAGAACCAGAAACTGGGAAAACCTGCTTACTGAAAGCCATGCTGAATCTACATGATGGGAAAAATGATACCATTCCCTTGCTGCTGGATATTGCAAAGAAAACTGGAACTCTGAAAGAGTTTGTTAACGCAGAGTATACTGACAACTACTACAAGGGTAAGAGAGCAGTGAATACTCTTGCTGATAAGACTGAAGATAGGGTAACGCAAGGCTCTCAAACAGTCTTTTGCATGAGGTCTTATGCTTGAGGATGCAGCATCAAAAGTTCCAGTGTGAGATTAACAATCAGTGAATTCATGCTAGGGCGGTCTTTTGTTAGACAGGTGCAGTATTCTACTCTTTCTGACGGTGATTTAGCAGCAAATTAGGGGACGTGCATTTGCTGTCTGTGCCACATTTTTTGTTTAATTCTAAATTTTTTTTATTCCAACAAGCTCTTGATTCTACCATCTTACATGGAGCTGAATTAATTGTGGTGCCTGAAAGCTCTCACTCTGTATTAAATGCTTAAGATTTCTCTCTGATGAGTGTCTCTGTAGGCCAGACTGCACTCCACATTGCCATTGAGCGAAGGAACATGTACCTGGTGAAGCTCTTGGTCCAGAATGGAGCAGATGTTCATGCAAGAGCCTGTGGGGAGTTCTTCAGGAAAATCAAAGGGAAACCTGGTTTTTATTTTGGTAAGAGCAAGCATAGCATGGGCTTTATTGATTGAGTTATCCTAGCATTATCCCAAGTGCAAACTGTTAAATAATCCTGTTCATGTGAGACTGGAGGCTCAGAAGTCATAAGTGGTTTAATCCACCACTTAGTCAAGACACTTACTCCAAAGGCTTAGATTATAATGAAACACAGTTGGTAGTTAATGGTTTTCAGTGTCAGCTTGGTGTCTGCATCCCTTGGTTTTGTGGGCACTATATTCTTTGAAAGGTTGTAACCTTCCACTGGTCTTCGTTTTGGTGCTTTTCTAAGCAGCCATGTTTCTGTAGTGCAGTTAAACCAAAGAAAATGTGATTCAAACAGCTATCAGAATTGATGCTGTTTTAGATAAAGAAATTCACCTCTTTTTTTCATAGCAAAAGTTGAAAACGACATGGTCTCCTTTTTGGTTTTGGATGTGTAGTAAGGCTTGCACATGTGGTGGGGTTTCTGACCATTCATTCACATTGTTTATCTGTAGGAGAGCTGCCTCTATCCCTGGCTGCCTGTACTAACCAGCTCTGCATTGTGAAATTCCTCCTTGAGAACCCATACCAGGCTGCCAACATTGCCGCTGAGGACTCCATGGGCAATATGGTCCTGCATACCCTGGTGGAGATTGCAGACAATACTAAGGATAATACCAAGTTTGTTACCAAGATGTATAATAACATATTGATCCTCGGTGCCAAAATTAATCCAATCCTGAAGCTAGAAGAACTCACCAACAAGAAAGGGCTGACTCCATTAACTCTGGCAGCTAAAACTGGGAAGATAGGGGTAGGTGAGCAAACGTGTCCAGCTATCCCATCACTGCATCAAGTTATACAGAGTACATGCAAAACATTTATGCAGGACAGATTTTATCATTGCTTGTTGCTGGGGCCTTTCAGTTAAGAGGAATTAATGCTGCAGTTTAACATGCAAAACTGCACAGTACTTAAAGGCTGTGAGGGGTGTGTGTGTGCACATGCACACCTACCCAACTGGCATTACATATTTGCTAGCAGTATACAAGACAGCCCAGGTGGAAACAGAAAGTGGCTTTCTGCTGTTACATGAACTAGAGGTCTTGTACTTTTGACTGACTGGAAGTCCCCATTCAGTGTGACTGTAAGGTCAGAGATGTGTAATGTACATCTCTGTATTTTTCTTGTGTGTTGAAACAGATAATGGCAAGTTATAAGTGGTAGAAAGCAAAGAAATGGGCTTCCTTCCACATTTATATTTTTCATCCACTAGCATACAGTGAGTAAATTAATATTGTTTACTTCAGACTTTGATCTCTGCAGTGCTCCAGCAGATTGACTTCAGCATAGTTAAATTGTGTTAATATAAATTAAAGCAATCCACTCTTACAGAGATACTGAGAAACTAAAAGCCCATTAGCACTGAAATGTTGTTTGAAATGTTGTTTGTATTGTTCTTTTGCAATTAGATTTTCGCTTACATCCTCAGACGAGAGATCAAAGACCCTGAGTGCAGGCACTTGTCTAGAAAGTTCACTGAATGGGCTTATGGGCCTGTCCACTCATCGCTTTATGACCTGTCCTGTATAGACACCTGTGAGAAGAATTCAGTGCTTGAGATTATTGCCTACAGCAGTGAAACGCCAGTGAGTATGCACCTCCTTGGCATTTTATTTGCAGTCTGGGGACTGTTGGGGAAGAGCTCCATGTTCTACACAGTGTATCTTTGTGTCGTTGCTGTAAAACAGCAATCTTCTTTCCTATGTTTAAGAGTATTAGAGGGAATGTTTGCTGAAGTTGAGTGTCATTTGCTGTTTTCAAAGCATACTGGTGCATACCGGTCATGTCAAGATTCTCTTCATCCTTTCATTCAGAATCGTCATGAGATGCTGCTGGTGGAACCCCTCAACAGGCTGCTGCAAGACAAGTGGGACCGGTTTGTCAAACACTTATTTTACTTCAACTTCTTTGTCTATACCATGCATATCAACATTCTCACTGCAGCTGCCTACTACAGACCTGTGGATAAGAAAGAAAAGGTATGTTACTCCTGTCACACATCAGGGGAACCACAGAGTGCATGTTATTCCAGGTCAGCCTCCCATTTCAATGTGTGCTCCTAAGGTCATAAGGTCAGTTTTCTGCCTTTCCTGAAGTTAGGAGGGAGATTTTGGCCCTGCTTGCTTTCCAGGCAAGCTTTGCCCCTTGCTGCAGCACATTCAGAAGCTTAACCTGTTCCTTCAGAAATGAAGTTGCTTTCAGCTGCTGGCAAGGACAGGCCTTTCCTATTTCCAGTTTTGCTGAACATCTCTGTCTTTTGTCTTACACAGCCTCCCTTCACATTTGGTCATAGCACTGGGGAATATTTTCGAGTGACTGGAGAGATCTTGAGTGTACTGGGAGGACTCTATTTTTTTTTCAGAGGGGTAAGATATTTGAAACTTTTTCTTTTTGCTCTTTGGTTAAGTGTAGGTGAAAACCAAGCCTGTCTTTTGCATTCATTAAAATAGGTTGACAAGATAATTCATATTTTAGCTGAGAGCTACAAAGCTTTTTCCTTGGCCTGGTTAGGTTACTAACAAGCCCTCAGGCTAAGGTACGGTTTTATCTATTGTATAAAAAAGAAGGTCCTAAGAAGTCAATGAGCATCTGAGTAATTAGCCTAGCCAAAGCTTAAGCCTGGGTTTTGCAAGTAGCTAAGCCTACATTAAAGATTCTGTTTTAGCTTAAAGGCAGTCTTCTTTCCCTTGGCAGCCAATGGATAGTATCCAGTGAATCACAGGTCCTCAGACCACTGACTTGAATAGGTTGGTGTCATGAAAAGACGCCCTAGATGTAAAGGAAATGTAGTGTTACGAAGAGAGTCCTCCCTGGATTTTTTAACAGTGTTGTATGAGCTATTCTTTTGCAATGCTGAATGAGAATCAGCTCCCTGGTATAGATACCAACACTTAGTTGATGCATTCCCATGGGATATTTACTCCCTTCTTTGGATGCAAACCTGGTCTTTATCTGCCCTCCCTGCTCACTATGCCATTTTTTTTCCCTTCCAGATACAGTACTTTGTGCAGAGGCGCCCATCATTGAAGACGCTGATAGTTGACAGCTACAGTGAGGTTCTTTTGTAAGTGCCAGTGTCTGATTGTATTCCAGCATGAAACACATGTGTGTGAGATCTGCATGTTTAGCTTAAACCACTCCTAACAGGTATACAGTTATAGAATATCCCAAAGTGAAAAAGATCACAGATTCCAGCTCCTAGCTCCACATGGGACCACCCAAAAATCAGACCATATGTCTGAGAGCGTTGTCCAAGTGCTTCTTGAACTCCAACAGACTCAGTGCTGTGACCACTTCCCTGGAAAGCCTGTTTGTTCCAGTGCCCAAACACCCTCTCAGTGAAGAACCTTTTTACAATATCCAGCCTGAATCTCCCCTGTTGCATTTTCATGCCATTCCCTTAGGTCCTACTGCTGGTCACCAGGGAGCAGAGATCAATGCCTTCCCCTGCACTCTCACTCGTGAGGAAGCTGTAGGCTACCACAAGGTCTCCCCTAGTTCCCTTCTTCTCAAGGCTGAATGAACCAAGTGACTTCAGCTGCTCCTCATATTTTGCCCTCTACACCCTTAAAGATACTTTGCTATAATTTCATAGGTCCTTACAAAATAGCAGTTGAACAAATGTATCTGCGTCAGCAACTTCCTTTGGAGGTAAAGCAAATTAAGTGTTTAGAAATGTGGTGAATGTGTCGTGCAGAAGAGTTAGGAATAGATCTCCAAGGTGGACTTGCAATACAGTGTATGCAGTGGATGTGCAGATATTCTCCTATTCCTTGCTTGTCTTTCAGCTTTGTTCACTCTTTGCTCCTCCTGAGCTCTGTGGTGCTGTACTTCTGTGGCCAGGAACTGTACGTGGCTTCCATGGTTTTCTCCTTGGCACTGGGCTGGGCAAACATGCTGTACTACACCCGTGGCTTCCAGCAGATGGGCATTTACTCTGTCATGATTGCAAAGGTCAGTCCAGTTAGTGGGTGGTGAGGCCAGCAGAGAGGTCGGATCAGAAACTGCTGCCAACAGCCCCATTTCCAGGAGAGAAGTCATCATGTTTCCATGTTTGCCTTCCATGGAAAGGCCTATATCAGTCTATTATAATCTGCCTTTATTTTCTGAGCGAAGTGATGCACATTTTAAGTCATGTAGAAAAAACACCCGCTCTTCATCCATGCGTTTTATAGCAGTCTTGATACATTCTATTTTTATTATTATACTTCAAAATAACAGTTGGATAGATGTGGATTTAAGTAGACGGAGAATAGTGCATACTCATGTGGTATGAAGTGGCACAGCTTTCTACCAGCTGGAAGTTTCCTTAGGAATAGTTTAAATCTTACCCAACAGAGCAATTAGCTAAGAGGCAGTAGCTGGCTAATAAACCTCTGTATATGACGTAGCCAGCTAGCCCAAGAAGAGAAGAAAGAGGCAATTGTTTTAATGTGGTCTGTACTCTCAAAGATGAAACTATTTGTCATGCATATGTCTTGCATATGTGTGTAAACTGTTGCTTGAATGACAGAAAAATGTTTTCTTATTAACGTTGATTATCTCAGTGGGATAAATAACCGTTTAATGCATGAGCGGCCCGTTCACAGCAAGTGAACTTCTTGAGCTGAAGGAATATTTTCTACCAATTTTTGTTTCAGATTATACTTGAGTTTTTGCAATATATAAATGTTCTATTTCTGCATTACAGATGATCCTTAGAGATTTATGTCGCTTCATGTTTGTCTATCTAGTATTCCTCTTGGGATTTTCCACAGGTAATATCATACTTGAGGTTATTTTTTATCTTGAATCCCAGAAAATTATGTTTCAAGTGGCTTAGAATATTTATTTTCAATTAGAAATTAAAATCAACCTTATTACAAAAATATCTTCGGAATAACAATTATGTATAGTAACTTCGTACTGCTTTTTATCCCTTGGATCTCAACTGCTTAGGAAAGCTGAATGGAAAAAGCCTGTTCTATGTAGACAAAACTGAGACAAAGCATCTGAAATTGTGTCAGTAATGGGGAATATTTTATAGAGTGGTTTCGTTAGGGACAAGGTGCCATGAAGATACTGTGTCATATCCGATACCTTCGTGCTCATTTTCATTGCTTGCAGGAGAATTAAGATTTCAAATTATATTTTCATCTTGTATAGTATTCCTCTTTTGTAACAGCTGTGGTGACTTTAATTGAAGATGACAATGAGGGGCAGGATGCAAATATCTCTGAATATACCCGATGTTGCCATACGAAACGAGGCCGCACATCCTACAATAGCCTGTATTATACCTGCTTGGAGCTTTTCAAGTTCACTATTGGGATGGGAGACCTGGAGTTTACAGAGAACTACAGGTTCAAGTCTGTGTTTGTCATCCTTTTGGTTCTCTATGTCATCCTTACGTATATCCTCCTGCTCAACATGCTTATCGCACTGATGGGAGAAACTGTGAGCAAAATTGCACAGGAGAGCAAGAGCATCTGGAAACTCCAGGTATATTGGTTCTATGAGGTTATCCAAGAAGGAGGGTGTGGGGAACCATAAGAAAATTCAGAGGGAATCAGTAGAAGTTGACGTGTACATAATCTACATAATAGGCCACTGCTTCTTTCTGATTCCCCCAAACAGTTCCCCCCTCAAAAAGTATTTTGATTTCTTTTCCGTGTATATTTGATGTTTTTTCTGAGCAGATGTTCCCAGTGTTGCACACATGTTCGGAATTTAAGAAAAGTACTTCTGTAATTAGACAGAATTATTTGGGCTTTTGATGATGGAAAATCCTGATCAGTGTATGAAGACAGAGATTATGCAAGGGACAATAAACCATTTTTTTACAGAATCTCAGACAAAGGCATATCTGCTTTTGTTTGGGGGTAAGAAAGGGAACTTCATAGTTCCAACCACAGGGCAGTAATTCAGCACTTTAAATCCCATATTAACAGAGATGATATTTCAGAGATGGGTGCAATGCCTTTTTTAAGATGATGAAAATGATAAGTGATTGTTTTTTGTTTTTTTATAAAGGCAGAATTCAGGATTTGCATGACTGAAACAGCAGCTTCTCAGTGGTCTGCTTTCTTTTACCTGTTAGAGAGCCATCACAATCTTGGATATTGAAAACAGCTACTTGAACTGTGTGAGGCGCTCGTTCCGGTCTGGAAAGCAAGTCTTGGTGGGGGTCACACCTGATGGCCAAGATGATTACAGATGGTGCTTTAGGTAACCTGCTTGTATGTCAAATGAACAATCTTTTATAGACAAACAAGATGTAGGTATCTGATAGTGGGTACTGGGAAGCAGAACTTTCCCTCTGGAGCACTCCTCTGACAAGCAGTGTACTAGCACCGTCACAATATGTGATACAAACTAATCCTGGAGTTGTCTGTTAATGCTTAGAATAGTTATTGTTTTTGTTGTTCTCTCCCCAGGGTTGATGAAGTGAACTGGTCCACGTGGAATACTAATCTGGGCATAATCAACGAAGATCCTGGATACTCTGGGGACCTCAAAAGAAATCCCAGTTACTCTATTAAGCCTGGCAGAGGTGAGAGTTACAGGGATGTAGATTCTAGTGATAGAAACAGTACAGGTTGATTGTTAGAGGGCAGTTAATTTATACGCTTAAGGATAGTAGATAAGTTAATGTAATATTTTTTTCAGTCAATACAAAATGTAAAAGAATAAATAGGTTCATTATTCACATAGTGGTTTATAGTAGAATAAAAGTCTCATGGATTCATCATTCTAATTTTAGATTTTTATAAGGCGGATAATATGTGCAAATTCTGAGGACTTGGGACAGTGCATGATGGTAGACAGACATCCAACAAGCTACTTTGGAGGCCACAAAGAAAGCTTCCTATAGCTTGGGGGAATGCAGCTGAGTGTTTAACCCTAAGACTGTGCTTCCAGCTGAAATATGAAAAACTCTTGGAGCAGTGGGGGTGGGGGAACACAACACAAGGCCCTCTCATCCTCCTTTCATCAGTTTTCTATATAAACTGCATGCATGTATTTCTTTTGTTACTATGGAGGAGAAAAAATAACCATTCCTTTCTTTTTTAGTGTCAGGAAAAAACTGGAAAACTCTGGTTCCACTTTTAAGAGATGGGAGCAGGAGAGAAGAGACACAAAAACTACCAGAAGAAATCAAGTTAAAACCCATTTTGGAACCTTATTATGAGCCAGAGGATTCTGAGACATTGAAGGATTCTCTTCCAAAGTCAGTCTAATTTTATTTTGTTTTTCAGAAGGTTAATTCTGGTTGCCTGTGCTGGTCCTCACAAAGCAGGGCAATTAGAGCACTTCCTTCATAAGAACAGAGATTTATTGAAAAAGATCAAAGGACTAAGGAAATGACTGTGTGCAAGGATTCATTAAGTATGCTAAATAAACTACTTGTTGTTTAAGCTCATGTCTTCATGGTTATTTTTAATATGAATCTGCAAGAAAGTGACTATTTACTACCTGGGTTGTATTCACTTGGCTAGATATTTGCATCTAGGCTGTCTCATGAAGTGTTAGAAACAATTCCTGTATTTTTTTTTTACTGGTTTATTTGTTTTAATTAAATGCAGTGAGAATTTCCCACAATTCAGAGCTGTCTGTAAAGTAGTGAGATCTTTTTTGCTGCAGGTTTTTTCTCAGTCTTCATCCATTTCTTTTGCTCTTTGAAAGTGCTCTCCCGCGTTTCTGAGATCTGAGCTGACATATTCATTGTTAGCTAACAGGAGTATTGCTAAGTTTTGTGGGTTGGTGCAAGTGGCCAATAATGGTGGATATTTTGTTGATAATACGAAAATAACAAAAGGGCCTGTAGAAAAATGGTTAGCACTCAACTCTCTGGACATAATGGATTTCATACTTTTTGTCTGCTTTTAGATTTTCTTTTAAAAAGTGTTTTTGTGAGCAGCTACAGGCCCCAATTTGGTGACTTCCCAGCCTTGAAAACTAACTAACCATACTATAACAAAACCGGAGAAGGACTCATAAAAGACCAATAAAAAATTCCAAGAGATCAGAGGTATGTTGTTGTGAAGAATGTTCCTTGTAAAGGAGATAAATGGGGGGACACAGTGAAAGAATAGAAAATGAATGCTCTAAAGATGTTACTCTTTTCTCATAACACAAGAATAAATATACGCTGTGAAATTTTAAAGGCTGGATAGTCAAAATCTATGAAGTGTTTCTCTTACAGTGTCTGAGTAAACTCTAGAATTCACAGTTACTGTTACCGAGGCCAAAGGCTTAACAAGATCCCAAAATAGACATTTATTTAGATAATGGATTACCTTTTCATTAAGTAAGAAATAGTGGTTATAGAGAATATATGTTTCAAAGGTCAGATGTATAATAGTGTATAACAATAATTATCTTGAAATCATAGTTTTTGTTCTTGACTTTAACAGCAACAACAGGAGGAAAGAAATGTGATGCTGCAAATCCATCTGGCTGGACTTACAGAATCAGGAAAAATGTCTGAGAGGCAAAATAGGCAAATTTTCTGAAACTACAGATAGAAACCTGGAATGTGAGGAAAGAATAGGAGAGACTTGGCATCCTCGTGAAAAGTGACTGGACAGAAAGTAAAGATAAGAAAATTTGTCTTAGACTACTGGCCCAATAATCCAGTGATGAACCCATGCAATCCTGTTGGGCAAGAAAAGGTAACTTGTTTTACCTTCTTTACTTGTTATGTATCACTAGAGCACATAGAACTAACAGCTTTTAATGTCCAAGTAGAGTGTGCGTGTACAAATATCCTTAAATCAACAAGGTTTTTAAGCACGAGCTCCAGTTTGAGCATGTGCACTGTTTCTTTGGCTGCTTTCAACGTACAGTTGTGCTAAAGCGCTTCTGTGAAATTCGGCCAGAGTGCACACAGCCTTTTGTCAGGGAGAGCCTGTCATGCTTGTCCTCTGACGCATCCAAACTTTGTGGTCAGATAACATTCATGAGTCACTGTGGTTGAAAAGTGGTATGGTAGATGGGTCAGTAGCAAATCATTGGGAAACTTGAAATCAAAGATGTAGAAAAGTGAGTCAGCCTTTGAAAGATAATTTTCAAAACATCATAATTTTTTTCTTTCTGCATTTACTAAGATACTGAAACATTCACTACTCTGTAAGAGAAGCAATTCAACTCACCTTAGAGTTACAAGAGAAACAAAAAGAAGAGGGCGAATTGCCCTCCACTGCTAACACTGTTACATGGATTCTGGGTTGTTTGGAGTTGGTTCTTTTACTAGGGTTAGGATTTCTGACAGTGCTGCTTTTTGACAGGGTACTAAAGCAATAGAGTTCAACAAATCTTAAAGCATTTAGCTTTGAAATAGTAGCACCATCTAGAGGACTAATAATTTTTGATTCTTCCATTAACTAAGTCATTTAGGACAAATGTCACTTTTTTGATAGAGTTCTGCGGGGCATACCCATAAAAAACTTGCCAAAGGATTTGAAATAATTGTTTCACAAAATCAGAATTGAAAGCCAACGAGCTTTTTCTCTCGAGGACAGGGAGACCACAAAAGATGTTCAAAGTTAGGATGTTAAATGGTATACCATTATAAAGGTGTATCTCTAAGCACTTGGCGGGACTCTCTATAGGTTCTATGCAAGACTTGATCATGCTCCGCACTGAACACAGCAAGAGGCAATCTGTATAAAACAAGTACAGCTAAGTAAACAAGACAGGTTGAGGCAGTGAAACTCCAACTGTTAATAATAAATGTAGAAAGGGGCCAACCAGAAAAACATAGGTTCATTGCCTCCAAGGCCTTTATGTGCCAGCACAAATTTATGCACAAATGCATGTGGGGAATGTTATCTATCTGGAAAGCATTCCTGAAGTTTCATAATTCCCTGTGAGGGATCCATTTCTTGTAATTATCTGCTTGTATAGAGACCTAATCTTACTGGTTAAATTCTGTCTTCATTTACATGAAGGTCCTATCCAGGAGGATTGATCAGCTGTTGTGTGTAACCTGAACAGAATGTTGATCTCTGCCTTCCTGTCCTTTCCTGTTCCAACAGGATTATCCAGAGCACAAGGGACTTTTATGAAAAAAATTAAATGCTGAAATTTGGAGTGAAAATATATATCAGTATAATGCTGTGGTTGAAAATGTAAATGGCCTATATTTGTGGGATAGGGTGGTGCTGGTGGCTTTTTGGTTGTATTTTTTATAAATCCCTTAGCCTTCTCTGGGAAGAAAAAAAATACCACTTTCCTAAAGTAAGTTATTACCAACCTCTCAGAACTTCCGTCTATATCATCACTCATTTTTTTTCCATGGATAGAAATTTGTTTCCCAGAGCTGGGCCAGTATAGCTTGGCACTCCAACCGGGTGTCACATGTTTATTTAGACTCAGTTGGCCATGGCTCTGTTTGCTAGTTTACTTCCTTCATCTTCATTGCACCTAAGTGCATAGAACTTTTTTTGTAAATCAAGGTGTGTCTCTGCTAAGGCAGACTGAGCAGGATGCCTACAGGGACATGCTGGTTCTGAGCAGAGAACATGAAGACTTACTTCCATTGTGGAGGGTTGCGACTAAACCCCAAGGGAAGAGACGTGGCTTGTCAGGAAGTATTTGTGCTTTAAGAATGGCTTTGCTAGGATCTGCACGTTGTTATTTGTACTACTAGACATCTCCACTGTCTGAGGAGGAGTGTGGCTTTGAGATTTTTTTTTTTTTTTTTTTGGGGGGGGGGGGGGGGGGCAGATGTTTTGTGAATGTTCTGCTTACTTTGGCAGCCGAATTTTGCCATGGTCCTACAGAATCTGTGTATTGAGTACTCGGGGATTTTTTCAGTCTGAAGTTTGAATAATTGTTTCACACTGAACATGGTTAGAAATCGCACATGGCTCCTATTCCCATGCTATTCCTTGAGGTCTGCGGGTGGTAAAAATCTATCCTCTCAGTTATTAGTCACATTAATTTGTGTCCACAGTAAGTGCTTAATAGAAGACGACCAGGTTCAACAACTGTATATATCCTACCAGCTCCCAATAACCATGCTGACTCAAAAGCAAAGGAAATGGAGGGTGTTCATGAGCTCACATCTCCTGTCTGTGGGTGACTAATTAGTAATGAGCATAAATACGTGATAAGAGATAGCAAGAAGAGGTGAGTTGGACTAAGGTGAGTTGAATTGAACACGGGCTGTTGAATGTGTAAAAGCCAAATTGTGGTCTCAGTATGTTACAGCACTGCTATACCTGAGATGTGACTTGTGCCTAGTCAGTCATGTCAGCTGCTGCATCTTTCAAGCTCCAGTAATTTCTGAATTAGTTGAGAAAAATATCACAGAATCAGAGAATATTAGGGATTGGAAGGGACCTTGAAAGATCATCTAGTCCAATCCCCCTGCCGGACAGGAACACCTCAATCATGTTACAATATATATCCTACCTGAAAAACATGGAGCCACACAGCCGTTATTAAGAGTGTCCTTTACTGTGCCCTCTGCAACAGCTGGCATTGGAACCTGAATAGCCCTCTTCCTAATTAAACACTAATATTAATCCCTGCTCAGGCAGCATATAGGCATATTTTTGGTAAGGTCCATGGAAAACTCCACAGCCCACAAGAGGGCCCCCTAGCTATGTTCAGGGACTGCTTCCCAATACCTCTGGAGTACCCTATAGCTGCCTTGCCCCAGGAATGTTGCTCTCCCTCTGACACCACTTTGTCCTGCTTTGCCGCCCCTCATCAGATTCATTATGCAGAATCATTTTTATTTTTGCCAAATGCCAGGTAATCCCATTGCTCTTTGGTGGCAAACATCTATGTCACACTAACACATTACTCAATCTTTGCTGGCATCTTTGCTGGAGTCCTGGTACTCAAAAATCCCCAGGGTGTTTCCCCAACAACTGCTGTACTGCTGCAAAACACAGGGCATCCCGCCAAACCCATAACTTTATGGAATAAAGCCAGTGGACTCAGGTTCTGATGCTGGAAGTTTTCAGAGCACCATCAACAGGAATTTGGTATGTTTTAGGTTAAAAAATGAAAAATAAATTGTTGTGTTAAATCTGTCAAATTCAAAAGAATCTATGTACATTAAAAATCCCAGATAAGGTGATGTTTGGAATAACACCCTGTTGGCTGGTGTGTTTGGATATTTAATATCAGCTTGTATGTTTTGTTCCATTACAGAGAATCTTCTTGTAACGATGATACTTTTTATGAATCTTCCTTGCTCTGTTAGGCAATAGGCATAGATTCACTGAGGCCTGGAAGGATGTCTTAATTGACATTGCCAGATGCAGCATCGAGATTCTGGGTCTTCTGATGTGGTTACAGGGCTCTGAAGTGCTTCCCATCACCCACATCACGCAGACTGGGGTTACTTCTGACTCTGGAATAGTTTCCACAGAGAAAATATGGACTGAATTTCTCCTACATCAG